GGTGGCTCTCGCCCCCCCCCCCTCCCGTCCCCCCCCACCCGAGAGGTCAGTTAAACTTACTGGCAGAGGATACTAGAGAGAATGCAATCACTACCCTTAAGGCCGAGAAAGAATCACTCATTTAAAATGGTCGGCAACACTTGGCCCGGCGAGCGTTAGTGTCGCCTACGAGTGTCGTGCCGGCGCGACGGCAGTAGCGGCAGGTTTAGGCCGCGTGCAAGGGACAACAGGCGACGTCTCGTGTGGCGCCTACAGGCCCCTTTGCTAGAAGTTAATGAGGCTTCTTCTTAGGGTGGTCTGAGGAAACGGGGAGGTTGTCTCCCTACAGGGACAGGGGAAAGCAGTACAAAGTTGCTATTTTTGAGAGCTAGTAAGAGAGCTTAATCAAAATAAAAAAACCTGCGGGACGCGCGGCTCCAGTTCCGCAGTGCCTCGCTTAGTTACCGCAGTTTACTGACGTTTTGCGGGGACCGCCTTCGCGACGAGTACTGAGTGGAGAGACATCTACGGTATGCCCAGCAGTCCGACCTAACACGAGGACGGAGGACCACGAAGGAGGACGGAGATCACAGAGTGAATATTCTCGCCCGATGGAGCGAAACGCGAGGACCGAAGAGGGCAGGTTAGTCCTTGGACAATAAAATCTCTCTTGGTTACACAATCACGGCGAGGGTATATTTCCTTTTGCCAGACAGCACGCAGATATTCTTTGCAGAAAAGACACGACAGATTGAACGTGACTTTTACGTTTACTACTCTGCGTCGAGGCGAGGGAGATAGTACACACCCCGCAAAGAGAAGATTGGTAGTAAAAGGTAGCGTGTTATACACACAACGGATAAAGTGTAATACTTTTTGGGACGGAGGTAAGGATCTGCGACAGTCTCTCTTTGTTGGGTTGACAATTTGGGGAAAATTAACACATTGCACCGAGTAGAATAGTGGGTCCAACCTATGTGAAAAAGTGGTTACTAAAGTTCACGAAAAGGTACTGGAATTGGATTGCAATGAGAAAGAGTCGTCATGGTGACTTTGTATAACGTGTACCTGCGTCCTTTATTCGGACGTATACTCCTTGTACAACTCGTATAGATTTTTGTTAGCGTTATCATCCGAATGATGAAGGTAGTGCGATTTCGTTGAGTTTAGGGTGGCGTCGGTCTTATGGTAGGCAGTAAATGAAATATTCAAAATGATAGGGATCGCTAATCTATTTTATATTTTAATATAACGTTGAAACATGGGAAAGGGTACGGATAAAGGTTTTGAAAGGCCCTTTTATCAACAAAAGGTATTGAAAAGGTCCGGACCTTAATCGTATAAGCTTAAAGTACTGAATAAGGTCCTAAAATTACTGTGCTTCTCTGGACCAGTAGTAAATTTGAGTCAAACTTATTTCCAACTAAACTTCCGCGCGCTGTGCCCCGAAATGACTCGACGGGTGACACGGAAACCACAAGAAGTCTCTGGCAACGTCGTTTGTCAATCACTCTGCTGTGACCTAGGCGTAGGTTGGAGGATGACCAGTAAGTGGACAGGCCGCTTGTGTCTTTGCAATAACTCCTCTCTAAGACGTCGCTAAAGGGTGTACCCCATTATCATCATTCTATGGGATGTCTGTCATTCGAGTGACGATCGACCATTATGTTGTGTAATGTCGGTCGGACCCTTTGTCTTATGTTGTGAAATAGGGAGTGACAACACACGCTCAATTTTTTTTACCAAAAACTCGACAAGCAATGACCCGGGACCCTTACCGTAAAGGATTTTTGTGTTAGTCGCGTTGTAATTTTCGACAACACAACTTACGGCACAAAGGCGAACTATACGGAGTGACTTAAATGTGAGGGGCAGGTAGTACGTCGCCGAGGAAGGACAACAAAGGACGGCAAGGTCTGGGACCAGTCGAGGGTGGGGGTAAGGATACTTGACTACGTTCAGGTAACAGAGGACTTCCGTTTGGTTACTGTTTCTTACATATTCCCGGACCATATTTCTCCTTATTTTTTTACAAATACTGAACTGTAATTTATACATATTCTTTATATATTTCTAATTGCCAATGACACATCTGGTCCCCATAGTTGATTTTAGTTGCTCAGGTCATCTCCTTTAGAGGGATGTATCGTTTCCGGGGCCTTAGTAGTTTTACGGGATGAAAAAATACTTAATCATACTATATATAAGTCATGACATCGAAATAATTGGAGACGTACTTTTAGTTCGTTGACTGATGGGTGGTTTATTTCTTTCATGTTAAGTTTTGTAAGAGATAGTATCTATAGGGGACGGCTCAATTCAAAATTGAGCCGCCCCCGAGAGCCATCTCCGCCCCGCTCTCGGGGTTGACGCCCTCTGATCCCTGGTCTGTCGGAAACACTGGTCATGAGACATGGAAAAGTTTCTGAATTGTGAGGATTAAGAAGTTCCCTTTTTAAATTGGCTGTTGTGAAGCGTCCATATATGTCGTAAAGTCATACATGTATTTGTGTATGATTAAGTGCCCAGTTAGATATATCTAAGAGTCCCAGGTGTATTAATGACATAGATGCTGATGTGGATGCTATTTTACATTTCGGACTGTCATAATTAATATTTTTCTGTTAGGACATGAACCCGGATTTAGCCCCCTTTGCCACGCCCACTCAAATCCCTCTTAGCTCAACCAGGAAATGAGCAGCTGGCTGAGAGCAGGCCATGTGTCACCATTCTGCTGCGTTGGAAGGTGTTCAGTCCACCGCCGCCTGTCTGCCAGAGTTGCGAAATGTGTGCTTTCTGAAGTTCAAGCTGCTACAAGCACCTCTTTTTGCAATAATGTAAATACTTAACAGAAATGTACTGTTTCATTTTTGGGAGGAAGTAGACCTTTTTCAGTGTTTTTCCTGAGGTAAACGCATTGAGTAAAGTTTTGGTGATAGTCTTGTTATCCACTTAATATAGCCAAACTCCTGCAGTGCCTCCCTGTGAAGCAGCCCACCAATGTTTGGTTTTGATCTATTGATTTGAATGTTCCCTTCAGCCTGTGGTGAAATGTGCCACTGGGAGTGTTGTTGACACACGCTGAGCACCTTCCTGAGCATAAAGGGTGTGTCATTGTTTGCTAAATGTGATGTCATGTTTCAGGAGGAGCCCTATGAGGAGGAGGAGGAGGACGGAGTGGAGGAGAGGATTCTGTGCTCCAGTTTCTCCCCAACAGAGAACGCAGATCTGTATGAGCTGCCTGATTCAGAGGCTCTGTTTTTACCAAGCAACATGGACAGCTCTCAGATGGTCTTCAAGTTCAAAGAGGTATCACCCACTCCATGACTATCAGTCTAATGGGATTTCAATTATACATCCAAATGTCTCATTCTGTTTAAATGACGTAATATTATAAATAACATACAATATAGGAAGTAACCAGATCTTTTTTTTGTTTCCTAGCTGCAGCTCAAACACGGCATTGTTGCAGCCGAAATAAATCAACTAAAGGAGAAGGTATGTTGAAGATTAAATCAACTTTTCCTTTTTCCTGTTGTCTGACTTTACAGGGTGTCCGCGGGGTCTTAAAAAGTATGAACAGTTCACAAATCAATTTATCGAAAATTAAGGCTATTAAAAAGTGTTAAAAAGTATAAAACTGACTTTCCAAGGTATTACATTTTGTAGCTTGTTTTCAAGAAGTATATCAATTGTCCAAAGAGGTTGTATTCTACAGTGTGCCTGAATGTAATCATTGCGTAGGTGTGTAGTGTGATTCTGTGTAGTTTATTTATGGCATCCCGTTGGATTTGCCGTCATCTGAACAGGACATCGCACGCTGACTGCTCGATAGTTAAACAACATCGTTATGGGGAAATGCAAGTTTGCGTCCAAATGGTTGGAAGATAAGGAGGAAGGACAATCAATACTGTATGTAGTAGATGTGTCACCAATGTAACCGGTTAAAACTCAAAGTGGCGATGAGGTCTTCAAATGTATGGAAATGGTCTTAAAAGGCATTACATCTGACTTCAGGATTCCTGCATATACCCTGTATGTACAGTAGGTTGTTAAGTCAAGACAAAATCCAAGACCTTGTTCTTTGAAATGACTAATTCATACTAAACGTCAAACTGTGGCCCACTGCTCATTCAGTTTAGTAACACGCCCCCATCTCTGAACAGCTAAGGTTATCTGGGGAGGACAGATCCTTGTGGGAAGCCAGGGAGTCTGCACTGGAGCTAAAGATGGAGGAAAGCAACAACAACACCCAGAAGTTTGAGACTTACTGGCTGGAAGCCCAGAGTCTGTGTAAAGTCGTAAATGAACAATTAGCTGAGACCCAGGCCCAGCAGGAGACTCTGGACAAGAAGTACAACAAGGCCAAGAAACTGCTCAAGGACTACCAGCAGAAGTGAGTTCCTCCTGACTTCCATAACTTCAGTCATTCACCTGAGTCATCTCATCACTATAATACATCCTGGAATAGAAATGTTCAAAGATAAACACATAGATTAGACTGTGTTTACAGATTTAAGACTAATCAACATTTCCTGGTTTCCTCCCCAGAGAGATAGACTTTGTGAAGAAAGAGGAGGAGCTGAAAAAAGTTCTAGATGAAAAAGACAAGTGGTACAAGGATCAGCTGGGGAGCTTACAGAACAGGGTAAGATTAAAAAGCGTAAGCATCACAACAGTGTTGCGGCCGGGAGACAGTAAAATGAGCATTGAGTGTTGTTTTGTCCACAGATAGCTCTCCTGGAGTCCGGCGTGGAGCGTCACAGTGGTCCGGGGTCAGGAGCAGATGAGAGATTGATCGACCCAGACCCCGTCACCAACACACAGTCTGTTGACTCAATACCAGGTACACAGAGTTACTAGGATAAAACTTAAAACAGAAGTACGATTTCACACTTATATTGCGTGATCTGTAAATGATTAACAAGCATCCATATTGAGCTCAAGTGACTCTGGTAAATGACTAAAAGTGTGCACATTGTGTTGTGACTTATTGTTTATGTTCTGTCCCGTAGAACAAGACTGGAGCGAGTGTGTTCCTGAGACTGAGCGCTTGGACACCAGTGCTCACAGAGCTAAGGGCCTGCTGGCTCAGAAGGCCAAACGTCAGCTGCCGTCTCGCAGCAAACTGAAGGAGAGCCTGGCAGGGGCTTCGGGTCACGCTCAGGTCAGACAGGAACAGCTGGTAGTTAGTGATTGCTATGTTGTTTGAGCATTTGGAGTAAACAATCCTTAGGTCAAGGTATGATGCCTGGAACCCCATCTAGGCATGTCAAGCTCAATCTTAGAGGTTAAAGAAACTTAACTTGTACCTGGTGTATATGAGCTGCCCTGTAACAGTGAAACAGTAGGGATTCTATTCAGTGATTTTCGCTGACAATTGTAATGCTAATTATTCTGTGGCTAATTGGTCAATTAGATCAACTCTCTGTTGAGGCAAGCGAATGGCCTTAAGATACTAGCAGCTGTTCTCAAATACAATAGGGAACATACCTGAGTGTTTTGCAAAACAAAAACACACCTAATGTGCGCTCATGACTCAGCAGGTCAGAACTGAAGATCAGAGCGTTCAGTTGTATAATAACATTTGATCTCCTCTTCCTTGCGTTGTCCTTGTAAATAATAAGCTTTGTCCCAACAGGACTCTGAAGAAGATGAGGATCAGGAGGAGCAGGAGTCTCCCAGGAGGAGGAGGTCCATCCAGGAGAGCCTGTCCCTCCCCGTGCCTGTCTGCTATCCTGGGAATGGACAGAAAGGGGATCCAGGAGAGAGAAGAGATGGCTCCAGGAGTAAGGCTGAGCTCTCACAGGGAGAGAGTGCTGAGAGCAGCGGGAGTCCTTCTTTGTCCTCTCCAAAAGACATCTCGTCCCCGCACTCCCCCTCTGGATTAATGCGGAATGTTAAGAAAAGGGAACCGAAAGGGAAAAACAAAGACTCCAAAGGTATGCCACACCAACATGTGCATGTACCAACAGCTGCAGCGCTTCCTGTGGCATTTTCACTCAAACCCCTTTTGTTTCATTTCAGAGGATCTAAATGAGGTCTCCTCAGCAGGGAAACCTAAAAGGAGATTTCCAGATTTTGGGTGAGTCTCCATGGTGATGCCTGTCATATGTCTCCAGATCAGCATCTTTTCGGCACTAACTAAACATGTTGATGCTCATCAACAGAGGCCTCCGGAAGTCGGGAGGCAAAGGGAAAAAACACGACAAGGAGGCGATGAGAGCGTCTTTGGACAGCAGGTACGTAAATGTTAAATCATAATGAAATGTAAAGGTGAGAAATATCATTTGACTAAATGTTTGGCGACATATATATTTTTTTTTTGTATGAATGATTCATGGTAACCAGCACAGTTAATGCCTGAATTGAGTTAGTATGACTGGAATCCATGTAACTCTGCTGGTGTAAATATTGAACTACACTAAACCAGATTCCTACCTTCTTGCTGCCAAATCTTAAATCGTTTTTCCCCTTTATTAGACTTTTAAGAGTCATTGTGTTTTAAGTCCCACGTGTGAATAAGTGTATATTCCTCTTTCTCCGATGCCCAGGGGATCAGCAGAGATCCTGGAGGAGTCTGGAGGAAACATTTCTCCTGCAGACTCCATGACGTCCATCCCCACCTGCATGCCCTTCTCCTGGTTTGGAGACAAAGACAGAGACAGAGAGCCCTCGTCCTCCAGCAGCAGTCTGCCGTACGCTGCCACCGAGACCAGCAGCGAGCAGAGCCAGGACCGCAAGAACAAGGTATGTGACTTTTACAGGAAGTAGAGCAGAACGTTTACTAGTAACGTCGTAGATATTGACATATGATATCAATAGGGGTCACAAACTTGATCTCCTTGTCTGTCCGCCTTTATCATAATATATTCTATCTTCATTAAAAGAGTAAAAGTAGTATAAACGTAACAGGAGGCAGGATCCAGACGTGTGCCGTCATTGACTAGTTCTTCTAATTAAGCTACATTAGCAATAACTGGACCCATCTGTTAGCCAGAGCGCTAGCACTGAAGCCTTTGGTGGCTTTTCAATGAGTTTGCAAATAGTGACACCACTCGCCACACAGGCTCGGGCGTTCTTACGATGCTGTTTAATTAGTTCAAGACACGGGTTCAACCAATAAGAAAATAGTAACCTAGAGAA